TGAACAAGAGGAATCACTGGCCCATATTATGTATGTAAAAAGTGCTTTGGGAACTGTAAAGGTCTTTACAGATGTGGTTACTGTTATTTTACCTTGTGCATGATTCTAAAGGAGGTATGCACTGTCTGAAGCACCAGGAAGGAGCATCTGGGTGGATGTCCACGGTGGCCCCAAAGGAACTTCAGTATTTTTCCTGAGAAACAGTGAGCTCAGATTAATACAGTATTTTTTTTTAATCACAGGCTTTGAAATGACTAAGCATTAAATTCACATAACCCTGCTGTGAAACACATTATAATAATGTTATTATAACCCAATTTTCTGTTGAAAGGTAGAAATAAGATTTGTTCCAGACTAAACAGGAAGTCAGTAATAAGATTATAGTTACTGATTAATCTAGGCTTTCTGCTTGTGCATACATTACATCTTTTATACACATACAGTTCAGAATGACAACTACAGCAGGATGATCGGTGTTCTTTGATATTCCCTCCCTTTCCCCTCACCCCTGCCCTAGTGTAGACAATCAAGGTGATATGGTTTGGATTCGTGCCCCCACCCCAATCTCATGTTGAATTGTAACCCCCAGTGTTGGAGGAAGGGCTTGGTAGGAGGTGACTGGATCATGGGAACAGATTTTCCCCTTGGTGTTCTCATGATAGTGAGTTCTCACAGGATCTGATTGTTTAAAAGTGGGTAGCATCTCCTGCTTCACTTTCTTCCTCCTGCTCCTGCCATGTAGGATGTGTCTGCTTCCCCTTCGCCTTCCATCATGATTGTAAATTTCCTGAGGCCTCCCCAGCCATGCTTCCTGTATAGCCTGCGGAACTGTGAGCAAATAAATAAAGAGAATTTATAAATTCTCTTTATAAATTACCCAGTGTCAGGTAATTTTTTATAGCAATGTGAGAACAGACTAATACAAAAGGTATGTGTGTATGGTGTATGGAAGCCAGATGAAGAAAATATTAAATATGAGTATTTATAACTATATATAAAACTATATAGTTTAGTAGCAAACTAGAGCTGCTTTCTAGTATTTGAGATTGCAGATTTTCTTTGTGCAATGGTGCTTCCCTGGGAGATGCTGGCACAGAGCCGTGTATCATGGGAAGGGAAAATTGGCATTGGGTAGGAGGCTGCAGAGTACACGTGAGGAAGAACCTTCCTAGGCTGCTGATTTAGGGGCTGGGGAGAGCAACGGTGAATGAGGGTGGTGATTTAGCAGCTACCAAAGAGAGTGAAGATAGTTAATGATTTATAGTAAATAGGCTGGAAGAGGTCCACAGGAAACTTTCATAAAAGATAAACGTTCCTTGTCTTCAAAATATTTACAGTTGGTACTATGATTTTCTCCCCTTCTCTTGTATATTTCTTTTAAAAATTAATTTGTCATTTTGAAATAGGTCTAGAAAGGTCCATGTCCTATAAGAGTCAAGTGAGGGCTTGACTGAAACACTGAAGGTTTGGCTTTTCCCACAAGTAACCCTTTACTTCCGATGATGTAGATGAATGACCATGTAGATAAACTGGGAACCAAAGGGTTTTCAGGAATTAGTAATGCTGTGGTAAGCAAACTGTGGGTAGGGTCTGTGGCAGTGGTTGAGTATGAGGGTGCTGAGAGGAGGCACTTCTCTGTGCCTGCTCAGCTCTCTGGGTGGGGGACTGCCACCAGTTCAGGAGCAACTCAGACAAGCTCCCAAAGCAGCCGTCCTTGCCTACTTCCTAACAGCTTGGGAGCTCTGCAGAGAACGCATAGGCCCTTTGGATCCCTACTTTTATTTATTTTTTTCTTTCCATTTTTTATTTTAGGCTCAAGGGGTACATGTGCAGGCTTGTTACATGGGTAAATTACACATTGTGGGGGTTTGGTGTACAGATAGTCTTGTCACCCAGGCAATCAGCTTAGTACCCTACAGGTAGTTTTTCAGTCCTCACCCTCCCTCTACTCTCTACTCTCAAGAAGTCCTCAGTGTCTACCGTACCTTTCTTTGTGTCCATGCATACTCAGTGTTTATAATTCTACCTGTAAGTGAAAACATGTGGTATTTGATTCACTGTTCCTGCATTAATTCATTTTGATAATGGCCTCCAGCTCTATCTGTATTGCTGCAAAGGGCATGGTCTCATTTTTTGGGGGCTGTGTAGTATTCCATGGTGTATGTGTACCACATTTTCTTTATCCAGTCCACCACTGATGGGCATCTAGGTTACTTCTATGTCTTTGGTGTTGTGAATAGTGCTGCGAAATACATACATGTACATGTGTCTTTTTTTTTTTTTTTTTTTTGAGATGGAGTTTTGCTCTTGTTACCCAGGCTGGAGTGCAATGGCGCGATCTCGGCTCACCACAATCTCCGCCTCCTGGGTTCAGGCAATTCTCCTGCCTCAGCCTCTTGAGTAGCTGGGATTACAGGCACGCGCCACCATGCCCAGCTGATTTTTTGTATTTTTAATAGAGACGGGGTTTCACAATGTTGACCAGGATGGTCTCGATCTCTTGACCTCGTGATCCACCCGCCTCGGCCTCCCAAAGTGCTGGGATTACAGGCTTGAGCCACCGCGCCCGGCCTGTGTCTTTTTTTTTTTTAAGAGAGGGGTCTCACTCTGTTGCCCAGGCTGGAGTGCAGTGGCATGATCTTGGCTCACTGCAACTTGTCTCCCAGGCTCAATTGATCCTCCCACTTCAGCATCCCAAGTAGCTGAGACTACAAGGCACTTACCACCATGCCCTGTTACTGTGTGTGTGTGTGTGTATGTGTGTGTGTGTCTTTAGTAAAGACAGGGTTTTGCCATGATGCCCAGGCTGGTCTGGTCTCCAACTCCTGAGCTCAGGGCGATCTGCCTGCCTCAGCCTCCCAAAGTGCTAGGATTAAAGGGGTGAGCTACTTGGCCGTGCATGTGTCTTTATGGTAGAACTAGTTATATTCCTTTGGGCATATACCCAGCAATGGGATTGCTGTGGACCCCCAATTTTAATGACAGTACTTTCCCTATTTTAAAAGACTCCTGTGATTCTGTGTGAAACATAAGAGACTAAAAGAAAAAAAAAAAAAAGACTCCTATTATTCTTTCTTTCATCTCCAATCAACTTAAGCTAGAAGGAAGGAAAATGAAATAGGTGGGTGTGGTGGCTCACGCCTATAATGCCAGCACTTTGGGAGGCAAGGTGGGTGGATCACCTGAGGTCAGGAGTTTGAGACCAGCCTGGCCAACATGGCGAAACCCTGTCTCTACTAAAAATACAAAAATTAGTCAGATGTGTTGGCACATGCTTGTAATCCCAGCTACTTGGGAGGCTGAGGTGGGAGGATTGCCTGAACCCAGGAGGCAGAGGTTGTGGTGAGCCAAGATCATGGGACAGGGTGACACTCCGTCTCAAAACAACAACAACAACAAAAACAGGAAAATCAAATAAAGGGCAGCCCAGTTCTGACTACAGCCCATTAAATGCAATTATTCATCAGTTATAGTCTCAGAAATATGCACCCATTAAGATTCAACATATGCATAAATAAGCTTATGTACCTAATGTTTACACACACCTTAATACTAACCCTACACTGTATGTATGCCACCCGTGTATCTTTCTAGACTCGCACATTACCATCAATATGCTCCCTTTTATTTGTTGTAGAAAGTATCCCAGAGTTGAAAGATCCCGGGTTTAAAGAGTGTTTCTCTTATTATTATGTGGCTTGTAGGAAGGGGAACAACCTGAAGAGAAAGAGTAGGTAGACTTGGAGGACCACTGGCCTTATAAAACAATAATTCCAGTGGTTTATGCCTGTAATCCTAGCACTTTGGGAGGCCAACGTCAGCGGATCAGAAGGTCAAGAGATCGAGACCATCCTGGCCAACATGGTGAAAACCTGTCTCTACTAAAAATACAAAAATTAGCTGGGCCTGGTGGGCCACGCCTGTAGTCCCAGCTACTTGGGAGGCTGAGGCAGGAGAATCACTTGAACCGGGGAGGCAGAGGTTGCAGTGAGCTGAGATCGTGCCACTGCATTCCTGCCTGGTGACAGAACAAGACTCCATCTCAAAACAACCAACCAACCGTAATTGCCACTGAAAGTCTTAGGTGCCCTAAACTGCTGGGAATATTTCTTCCCACCTTTCTTTCAAACGTGCATTCTGATTGGTTAGCTCATTTCAAGGGCTGCCGGAGAGCCTCACAAAGATTGTAAACAGGTGGGGTGCGGCGGCTCAGGCACGTAAATCTCAGCACTTTGGGAGGACTTGGGGGGGGGGGTGGTGAATCACCTGAGGTCAGGAGTTCAAGACCAGCCTGGCCAACATAGTGAAACCTCGTCTCTACTAGAAATATAAAAAGGAGCCGGGTGTGGTGGCGGGCGCCTGTAGTCCCAGCTGCTCAGGAGGCTAAGGCGGGAAAATCGCTTGAACCTGGGAGGCGGAGGTTGCAGTGAGCCAAGATTGCACCACAGCATTGCAGCCTGGGCAACAAGAGCGATACTCCGCCTCAAAAACAAAAAAACAAAGATTGTAAATATTTGGTTTGCACTGAAAAGAGAAGGCTTCTTCTGTCTGAATCAAGGAGGAAAAGGAAGGAAAACAAGTTTGTCTTACATCAAAAGTTTACTTTGCGTTGGACACTTAAATTCCTAAATGGGAGAAATGCAAAAAACTCTGACTCTTCAGAGTCATAGCTAACATTATCTTGGGCCACAAACTTACCAAGAATGCAATACAAGCCGGTGTCTCCTCTTTTCTACCTAAAAAAAATTCTCATTTTTATTATTACTTTATTGCAAAGAGAAACAGACAGTAAGTCGGAGTTTTACGAGGGGCTCCGGTGCATAGGAACAATGGTGAATGAGGGTGGTGGCTCACCACCCCATGGGACTCTGAGGTTTTAGTGACAGCTCGCCTGAGCCCCAGGGGGCGCCGAGATTGCGGCGAACAGAGCAGCAGCTCAAGGCAAATCCATTCAGTGGGTCCCGGCCACGCCCCCGTAGTCACCCGCAGCTCCTAGCCGCAGGGCGCCCCGCGCACGCGCACGGCTTCCGGCTCGGGAGGCGGGCCCTGGCTGCCATCTTGCTGCGCGCGGGAAGCGCAGCCGCCGCTGGGCAGAAAGCAGAGCCTAGCGAAAGCGTGTACTGCTCAGACCGCCTTCCTTCTCCATTGCCACCAGTGCCAAGCAGCTAGGCTGCCCAACTGCAACTCTAGGCCAATGAACTAATCCATCGCCCGCAGCCTGACTCTCAGCAGCGGTTCGTCCCGGTGCCCAGCCCTGCGAAACGGAGCGCCAAGGCACCCAGCCTCCCCGCTGGCCACGATGCCGAACGTGCAACTGCCGCCCAAGGAGAGTAACCTCTTCAAACGCATCTTGGTGAGTGGCCGTAGGCCGCGCTGCCGTCCCCAGGTCTCCGGGTCCTCGGGCCTTAAGGGCAGTCTGGCGGTGTCCGGCGCAGGCCGGGCTTGGCCTCCGCTGTCCACCGCTCTTTGTTTACCTCGGAGCCCGCGGGACCACACTTCCCCGCTCCGATCGGCCCACTGTGGTCTCCGGGCCGCTTCTCCGCGCGCTTCCTTTCCTCAGTCTGCGGCGGCTGGCCTCACCCCGCCGCGCTCTTTCCAGAAACTTCACGCCGCCCTCCGCAGTGCCCGGGCACAGCCTCGTTCGCTGGTAGTGGCTGTCGTGCTCTCTGCGGCACCGGCTTCGCAGCCGCTCCGCAGGAATCATTCCCTGTTGGTTTATTTTGCTAGCCTCCCCTCGGCGAGGTGTTTGCATTCTGCATTTTCTGCTTTGCGTTTTGCATTCGTTGCTTTCTTTGCGTTTATTCGATTGCACAGTGTACTCTCATACCTGTTAAAGCGGGATCGATGCAGTGGTGGAATTTATCCTGGTTACGAGAAAATAAAACCGGCAAGTCTAGGAAGCCAAGCCTGGCACCACCTCCCTTTGGGAGAAAGTTTGCCTGTCTGTAATGTACCTTGTTTACCCTCTTTGGAAGTGAATCGTTGACTTGAACTGTGTGTCTGAGTTGTCACAAACTTCAACACAGCTCTTTGCTTTTAAGTCGCACAGGCCTTGCTTGAGTAATTAAAGCCGCGTGGACTGGTTGGTTTTGCACATGAGGGGAGCGGTTTTTTACTTTAATGCCGAGCAGAAGCCTAAATAATGGCCCCGTAGTGATGACCGCTGCAGAGCCGGGTGGGCAGTTTTCTGTGGGCTTGGTGCCAGCGTCTCTGGTAGCTTTCCAGGTTCTGTTCTTCAAGGAGAAGAGGCAGCATGCCTTTGCTTTTCTCAGTATACTCTGGCGACCCTAGGTTTTAAACTAATATTGTTGATAGGTAGCTGTCTTTTCTGGTTCATCTTTTCATCTGAATTAAAAAAAAAAAAAAAAAAAGCGTTTATTTCCTAAACAAGTGTTTAGGATTAAAGGCGAATTTATTGAAAGCTGGGTTGGCTATATGGCTGTTAGCTGTTGCTTAACTTTACTATAAAGAAAATACTAATTTAGAGTATTTTTAAGTATTAACAGCGGCAGGTAGTTCATAGTAGCTGTTCTGTTTCAAGCCGATAGAAACTTCACACAGTCTTCAGAATGTTAAGATATATAGCAGATGGGATAAAAATTTTAAATATTATGTGGTGCTTAGTTTTGAACAAATAAAAAGAGACAAATGTGAGAATATTAAAAATACAAATATTAAAGCATGTGGCAGTTTGCTTTATTGGGCTTTTTATTTTGCTTTTTCTCATGACCTTTTATTTTACACAGCATGGAATTGGAGAAGTGATTTATTTATTTATTTTTATTTTTTATTTTTTTGCCCCAGAAATCTGAAACATTAATGAGAATATCATCTATAGATTGCTAGTTGGATTTCAGGACATTGGGCATCTTACTTCAAAGATGACAGCACTTCTTTTCTCTCTATGTTGAGTTTTTTTGTAGTTCAAACCATGGATCAGTGTCATAAAGAAAAAGTTACGTTGTTATTCTCAAATTACAAAAAAGGTAGAGTTTATCCCCAAATAAATTGGGCAATGATAACCATAAAAAATTAATTAATTATTTTGAGCTGAGAATCTTGCTTTGTTGCCCAGGCTACTGTCCAACTCCTGGCTTCAAGTCATGATCCCACCTCAGCCTCCCAAATTGCTGGGATTACAGATGTGAGCTACTGTGCCCAGCCAACCTAAACATTTTAAAATCTAGGTATGTAATGTTTCTTACAAGGTTGCATGAATTTAGAAGGATTCTGCGTAAGTGAATTGTTTTTTTTCTTTTCTTTCTTTTTTTTTTTTTTTTGAGATGGAATTTCACTCTTGTTGCTCAGGCTGAAGTGCAATGGCGTGATCTTGGCTGACCATAAGCTCCGCCTCCCAGGTACAAGTGATTCTCCTGTCTCAGTCTCCTGAGTAGCTGGGATTACAGGCATGCACCACCACACCCGGCTAATTTTGTATTTTTAATAGAGGTGGGGTTTCTCATGTTGGTCAGGCTGGTCTCAAACTCCCAACCTCAGGTGATCCGCCCGCCTCGGCCTCCCAAAGTGCTGGGATTACAGGCATGAACCACTGCACACGGCCTGTGATTTTATCATTTCACAATTGTAATAAACGTGGGTAAAATTTGGTTACAACAAATTCCATAGCAAACAGAAGTCTCTATAATAAGTTTATCTTTAAAGTTTAGTGGGTTAAAGTGCTTTGCCACTAACAATAAAATTTTTTTGTATTGAAAAACCTCAGACACTTCACAAAAAGTGACCAGCTGGTTTTTTATGTGTTACACATGGCTTATATCTGCATGTGTTATTCCCCAGACAGACTGTTAATTAGCATTACAGTTTGTTGAACTTTGGAGCTATTTCATGCCCTCTTTTAGGAAGAGACAAACCTAAGGTTGGTAAATGACCCAGTGGCTAAGGTTCTCTGTCTGGTTAGTAGCAAAGTTGAGACTAGAATCTATCGTTTCTACTTAGTATAGAAACGATAGTCACTCCTGAGTGACTGTAGACTTGTCTTTTTTTTTTTTTTTTTTTTTTTGCGGCGGAGTATTGCTCTGTCACCCAGGCTGGAGTGCAGTGGTGAGATATCGGCTCACTGCAATCTCTGCCTGCTGGATTCAAGCGATTCTCGTACCTCAGCCCCCCGAGTAGCTGATATTTCAGGTAGACTTAGACTCTGGGGCCAGAGTTGGGTTCAGAATTGTGGCTCTGGCATTTACTAGTTATGTAAACTCTATACCTATGCCTCAGTTTCCCTAACTAAATAGAGATATCATGCATCTCATAGACTTTCCTGGGATTTAAATAAAGAGGAAGTAAGCTGTCTTGGGATGAGGAAAAAAATAAGAACAGTGTCTGGACACATAGTAAATGTTTCCAATAGGTGTTACCTATTACTGCTGTTACTGGGAGTATGATTATTATTATTTTAAGATCATAAGTCAGAATAGTATTTCTCTTTGTCTTTTCCAGTAGTTCCTTCCACTTTTTTCTTGTCATTTGTGAGACAGACTCCTGTAGTCAAACTGTTATTTTTTATTTTAAAATATTTTTGGAATAGGCAGTATATTCACATGGTTCAAAATTTAGGTTTCTCTCTTGTCCTTATCCCAGAACCACCTAGTTCCCTTCCCCAGAGGCTGTCAAGAGGCTGCAGTATAAACTTTTTTTCTGTGAAGACTTTTCTAATTTCTTCCACATCCAGCCGCTGATGCAAGGCTTAATGAAGGTCTCTTCCACTGCTAGTGCCATTTTGCTTTGAACTTAGTAGGCTGTATTTATTGAGCAGTTTCTTACTTGTGTAGCCATGGCAGTGCAGCAGTGTTTAAAATAGGCTAAGTCCGGTGCAGTGACTCATGCCTGTAATCCCAGTGCTTTGGGAGGCTGAGGTGGGAGCTGGGATCACTTGAGCCCAGGAACAAAAGACCAGCCTGAGCAACATAGCAGACTTCATCTCTACCAAAAAAAAAGAAAAATCAGCTGGGCATGATGGCATACACCTGTAGTCCTACCCACTCAGCAGGCTGAGGTGGGAGGATCATTTGAGTTCAGCTGTTTGAGGTTATAGTGATTGTGTCACTGCACACCAGCCTGGGCAACAGATCAACACTCTGTCGCTAAAAAATAAGTAAGAAAGATAGCTGAGATCATTGTTCTAAGGATCCATTATATGATGTTGGGGAAGACAGACACTTAACAATAGCATAAATAAGATTTCAGGAAATGATAGCACTGTGTGGAAAATAGAGTAATATGGTAGATAATATGTTGGGGAAGGAAGGCAGATGGCAGTATTTGATAAAGTGGGCAAGTAGGGGACATGTGAGACTTGGATAATGAGGAACCATCCATGGGAAGATCTGGGAAAGCATTTCAGGCAGAAGGAACACAAGTGTAGGAGGGGATAAGCTTGGCATGTTGAGTAATATAACCCCAGTGTGACTGAACAACGTAAGCCGGGGAAGAGTAGAAAGCAATGGGGTGGTTCTCTGCATCAGTGGCTGCCAGGGAGGGATGTTAATTGCGTACCCTGACTGGTGGCTTTCAGGAATAAAGATGTTCCTAATCCTTGCATTGGACTAATGATGGTCTTTGGAGTAAGACCAGAGTTTGCAGCTAAGCTTAGCTGCTTATAAACAAGTTCTTGAGCTCTTGAGTTCAGTTTCCACATCTTTGAAGTAGAAGTAATGACACCTACCTTAAATAATTGGTATTAAGATATTACAAGTTTTATACAGAGACATAATAGCTGCTCAATAAATGGTAGTATTTGTGTGTGTGTGCATGTGTGTGTGCATGCACTTGGGTTTCATTCTTGTAGTAGCAAAGACTTTTAGTGCAGTTTCTGGTATTTTTCTGTTGTCACGTATGTTTTTGCTTAATTTCTTTTTTTGAGACAGGGTCTTGCTCTGTTGCCCAGGCCTAGTGCAGTGGCACAATCATGCCTTACTGCGGCCTCTTCCTTCTGGGCTCAAGTGATCCTCCCACCTCAGCCGCCCAAGTAGTTAAAACCACAGGTGTGCATCACCACCACGCCTGACTAATTTTTACTTTTTTTAATAGAGATGAGGTTTTGCTTTGTTCCTCAGGTTGGTCTTGAACTCCTGGGCTCAAGCAATCCTCCCGTCTTGGCCTCCCAAAGCATTGGGATTACAGGTCTGAGCTATGGTACCCAGCCTGCTTTTAAATTTTGAATTAAAAAATTCTGTGTACTAGGAAAGGGAAATGAAATAAAAAGTTCTGTGGCAGTATTGATTGATGAATTTCTGTTTTTTTCTGTTTGTTTATTTTGAGATAGAGTCTCACTCAGTCGCCCAGGCTGGAGTGTAGTGGCACGATCTCGGCTTACTGCAGCCTCCACCTCCTGGGTTCAATTCTCCTGCCTCAGCCACCTGAGTAGCTGGGATTACAGGCATGTGCCACCACGTCTGGTTAATTTTTGTATTTTTAGTAGAGACGGGGTTTTGCCATGTTGGCTAGGCTGGTCTCAAATTCCTGAGCTTAAGTGATCTGCCCACCTTGGTCTCTCAAAGTGTTGGGATTACAAGCCACCACCTGACTCGGCCAAATTTCCTGTTTTTTAAATGTCTTTTTTCATTGTCTTCTGTAAAAGTGAAAATATGTAGATTTTAGAACAATTTGACAAGAATAGGTAACACAAGTATACTGCACGTTTGTAAGTGATATCCTTTCCATCATATTTTGACCTAATTTTGGATCATGAATTTAGAATATATGATGCCGTGAAAAGTTGCTTTGTTGTGTATTCGTTTGATAAAATAACTTTTGTTCATTTTTTTTAACAGAAATGTTATGAACAGAAGCAGTACAAAAATGGCCTCAAGTTTTGCAAGATGATTCTATCGAACCCCAAATTTGCTGAACATGGAGGTATTGTCTTATGTGAGAGATTGCTTTAGGGAAATCGAATTCCAAAACCAGACAGGATTAACAGTGAAAGAAGAATATTTCCCAGATTCCAAGGCCTTGCATTTCTTTACTAGAATGCATAATTGTTCAGCATTTTTACAGTGCTCTATGAGTCTTATTCTAGATTACCTATATTATCCTTAAGTATATGTACTGTCTTTTAGATTAGGATTGGTTGGTTGATCTATTGGGGAACAATTGGAAAAAGTGTATGTCAGTATTTTTATAGGCCTGATTTCCATTATTATTTTGAATAGAATTTTAAGTTTATACCTTGGTTTCCTATGTGTAAAATTAGGACAAAATTTGCAATGTAGAAGTATAAGATATGGTCACCTGCGCTTTATTGTTTGGTAGATGTGTTTTTTTTTTTTTTTTTTTTTTTAAAGTATGTGCTGACCTTTACATATGATACTACTAATTTACCATTAGATTGTATGTTTTGAGTTGTTTTTCTAACACTGGTGTTAATAGGTGTGTATTTTCTTCTTCTGTCCATTTTTAGTAGTAGCCAGTGTTTGAAGGGTGGATCAGGATAGACATGACAATTATGATCCTGTAGCATAGCAAAGCTGGTTGAGGTTACTTAGTATCAGACTTGAGTAACGGTTGAGACCATCTTGCTGGGAAAGTTGGCTGACCTTGCCCACGTTTCTAACCACATTTAAAAGATTATTTGAAGGACATGGAAAGAAATCTGTATTTTATAGAATTAATTTTAAAGCTTATTTTTAAGCTTTGTAGCTGTGGACTCTTTATCCACATGGAGCCTGTGGTTCATGTATGTGCTGACCTTTACGTATGATACTACTAATGTGTCATTTGTATCACATATCCAAATGGAGCCTGTGGGTTTATCCAAATGGAGCCTGCGGGAAAGTTCAGTATGTAAAACAGATAAAAGGCGTTGGAGAGGGGGTTTGGGCCATAGGATCACCATGTTCTGAATACCATGACGTCTGCTGAAATCAGTTTGAAAACCATTGTTCTTGTGTAATTCCCTTCTTGTGGATAATTCACAGAATTGCTTCATCTTAAACCATCTTTTATTAACTTCCATACATATTTTTTGTTGCCACTACCATTGTCCATTGTTGTGCTCTTGAAAAGTGAACTGATGTTAATTAGCCTAAGTAGAATTTGTTGGAATAAACTTGCTCTCAAAAATGAAGTCTGTTCCAATTTTGAATAAAGTGATTTTTAAATTATGTATATGTCTTTATTAAGGTAGATTGAGTGTTTTTGTGTGATTGTAAATCAGATTGGTGATTGATTGATTAGAACTGACCTTAGGTAAAAGCTGTGGAACAGTAGATTTAATTCAATATGTCTGCTTTGTAAATTTTTTTTTTTTTTTTAGACGAGTCTCACTCTTGTTGCCCAGACTGGAGTGCAGTGGTACAATCTTGTCTCACTGCAACCTCTGCCTCCCAGGTTCAAGCAATTCTTCTCCATCAGCCTCCTGAGTAGCTGGGATTACAGGCATGTGCCACCATGTCTGGCTAATTTTTGTATTTTTAGTAGAGACAGGATTTTGCTGTGTTGGCCAGGCCGGTCTCAAACTCCTGACCTCAGGTGATCCACCTGCCACAACCTCCCAAATTGCTGAGATTACAGGTTTGAGCAATTGTGCCTGGCCTGCTTTGCTATTTTTTCAGCAGAATAATATCAACCACTTTTACAGAGTCTTGTGAAGAGCAGAAACCATTTTAGCAACTCTGAACCTAAGGAATTTCAGAAACAGACTTGGGCTGCTAAGCTTTAAGTAAATATTTAAATGTAATTTTACTTTTTCTGCTTGGAGAGAAGGTCAAACTGTGAGATTAAAAAGATGAATTGGAGCTGTAGTAATCCTTCAGCTCTCAAGTATTAAAGTACTACTAAGAGAATAATTTTCTTTCATTTGTAAATAGAGTTTAAAAATTATTTTTTCAGAGACTTTGGCTATGAAAGGATTAACACTGAACTGTTTAGGAAAAAAGGAAGAAGCTTATGAATTTGTTCGTAAAGGACTTCGTAATGATGTCAAGAGTCATGTCTGTATCCTTTTGCAGTAGTTTAATTTATGTTTTCATCAGTTTTTTTCTAATTCAAATTAAATTTTTACTGTGAAAATTTTAAACCTGCATAGAAGAGAGAATTTAATGAACTCTTTTTATCAATTACTCAACTAGAATCATTATCAACATTTTGTAATATTATCAACTTTTGCCCATGCCCCTCTTCCAATACTAGTTTCATCTGTTCCCTACCTCGTGTTTATTTATTGGAGTATTTTAAAGGAAATCTATAATATGTGTTTACTTCTGTTGTGCTTAGTGTTGGAGAAAAGTTACTTTGATAATTGTATGTGACTTGAAACCATTTTATTTCCTTAAACATCATTAACTGAGTAATACTTCCCTATTATTCCAAATACTGACTTTTAGTTAATTATATGGTAAAATTTGTATGTCTTAAACTTCTTTTAGAAATTTTAGAAGAAAAACTTAAAACTTATTTTAAAACAGATTTTATTTAATATTAAGTATGATATTGGTCCTTCACCTTGGTTTCTGTTAACATAGCTGTTCCTTAATTGGAGCTTTATAATTGTGTTTTTCTTTGGCTAATATCCCAGTGTGTAAAAAAAAAAAAAATAATAATCTTTTTTTTTTTTTTTTGAGAGGGAGTTTTGCTCTGTCATCCAGGCTTGAGTGCAGTGATACAGTCTCGACTCACTTTACCCTCTACCTCTCGGGTTCAAGTGATTCCCCCACCTCAGCTTCCCAAGTAGTTGGGACTGCAGGTGTTCACCACCATGCCCAGCTACTTGTTGTATTTTTAATAGAGATGGGGTTTTGCCATGTTGGCCAAGGCTGGGCTTGAACTCCTGACTGCAGGTGATCCACCCACCTCAGCCTCCCAAAGTGCTGGGATTATAGGTGTGAGCCATTGTGCTCAGCCAAAAAAAGTTTTTAAAGGATGGATCATTGAAATTCATTTTAATTTGTTTTTCCTATCCATATGTTTATCTGCAGTTTTTTTTTTTTTTTTTTTTCACTTATTGCCCTTGCATTTTAATTTGTTACGTTTAATTCACTTCGCCACTTACTGGTGTTGAACATAAATAGTCTTATTAGTGTTTTCACATTTGGCTTAGGGTTTTCTCAAATTACTAAATACTTATTTCTTTATCCCAGTGCTTACCCCAGAGTGAAGAGAAGGGCATGTATGTATGATAGTTTTGTGGGGCTTTTGGCTCCAAGAAATACTAAGACTTTAATTTACAAGAAATAAAACTTTTTTTTGTGGCCTTTAATATAACTAGGAAATTAAGTGATAGTTACACGCTACTTTAGAATTGACTGTAAATTTATTTCAAAAGGTAGTTGCAGTTAAGTATATATTCTGTTTGAACACATCATGATGAAGAATAGGTGAATGTTGAGGTTGCTGGGGTAGGAAAGCAATAGGATAGAGGGTAGAAAATGTGAAGAATTTTTGCCAAGAATTATTTAAGGTTACTTAAAATGTTACAGAATATTTCAAACATATACATAAGTAGAGGGTACAGAATTATGACCTGCCCCCCCCATCCCAATATGGCCATCACCCAGCTTCAACAATCTGACAATTATCAACTAAGCCTGATCTGGTTTAATTTTTAAGTTACCTTCGCTATTCCCCTCCCTCAGGCCCCACATCATTCTGAAACAAATTCCAGGCAAAATACCATTTCCTTAATGGAAGTTTTATATTAGATATGTGGCATAGTATATTCTAGTGTCTGTGTATGTCTTTATTTCCTTAACTTAATAGGTTGGCATGTATATGGACTCTTGCAGCGTTCTGATAAGAAATATGATGAAGCTATAAAATGTTACCGAAATGCCCTCAAATTAGATAAAGATAACCTGCAAATTTTGAGGGATCTCTCACTGTTGCAGATCCAAATGAGAGACCTTGAAGGTTACCGAGTAAGTACTTCTTTCTTAAATGTACATGATTTTACAGTAGATTGAATTTAAGAGCATGTGGATTCAGAATGAGGTGAACATAAGCCAAGATCACATAGATTTGATTGTTCATTAGACGGTGTATGTCACTTGGGATCTTCCTCCTCAATCATAGTTAAGGTACTGAGGGAATGTGTTCTCTTTCTGGGTCCATGAGGGGGCTTAGTTTTAAGGGCAAGAATTTCCCAGTGCCATGCCTCCCCTCCCCTCTCTCTCCATCTGGGAGATTTAACGTTTATGTTTAAATTTGGAGGGCGGGGAAGAAGCTAAGAGTCAGTCACTCCAGTGGAAGTTCTAAGGAACTCCTTTCATTGGCCTGGGTCTTACAGAAGGTGGGGGTTCCTCCCAGGTTAAAAGTCCCCTTCTTCTGCACCCCTTTGGACTCCATGTTTGGGTCCCCTTCCACGAACACTCCCTTTGTGGAAGCCATCTTTCTCTCTCCTGGATTTTCCTTCTGGAGTCCCCTCCCGTACCCTCTTGTGAAAGCCTGTCTTCTGCTAAACTCCATCTCTCTCTATTCCCTAATACTCTCTGGAAGCTGCTTTCCTTTCCTGGGTTCCATCTTTCTGGATTCTGTCACTTAGTGTGAGAGTTAGCTGTTTCTTTCTCTCTCCTCCTGTTTCTCTCTCTCTTTAAATAAATCACTTTCTACAAACACTTTTGAGTCTGGCATTTACTGCACACTGCGCCGTGGTCCCCTCTCATTCTTGAGAGGGCAGGAGACCAAGAACCTGGAGAAACATCCTCTCAGGGAGCTGAGGGCACCGAACCTCATTATTACAGCACTTTCTTGAGTATCAAAAAATAATAACTGGTGGGGTACAATGGTCCACGCCTGTAATCCCAGCAGTTTGGGAGATTGAGGTTGGAGGATCACTTGAGGCTAGCAGTTAGAAACCAGCCTGAGCAACATAGTGAGACTCTGTCTCTACAAATAAAAAAAATTAGCTGGGCATGGTAGTTCACACCTGCAGTCCCAGCTACTCAGGAGGTTGAGGCAGGAGGATCCCTTGAGCCTAAGAGTTGAGGCTGCAGTGAGCAATGATTGTGCTACTGCACTCCAGCCTGGGCAACAGAGCAAGATTTTTTCTCAAAAAACAAAGTGGTTTTTTGAACATTTTAAATTTGTTAATTATTTAAAAAGTAGAGACAAGATCTTACTATGTTACTGAGACTGGTCTTGAACTCCTAGGCCCACTTCAGCCTCCCCAAGTGCTGGGATTACAGGCATGAGCCACCACATCTGACCATAACTGTTTAACTGGAATATCTATGTGCAACTGCTGTACTAGATTCTTTGTGGGTTTGATATTTACAAATTTGGTAAACTAATATAGCTTTTATAGTTGAAACTAAATATAAAAGTAGCTTTTAAAAATTATTAGTAAATATTTTTAAAATGTGAGAAGGGTTGCCATAAATCAGTCTTTCTGTAGTTCAGACCTCTTCAGATTTTTTACATCTTCAACTCTCTCCTGGACATCTCCGTGTGCTTGTTCCACTTAATGTCCTAGAATCAGTATGTCCAGCATGGAATTCTCTTTCTTGTGAGAAGGTGGCCACCAGGTTCTAACAGTTTTCTTTAGAGACATTATTTATATACTTCTTTCATTTGCCCTCTACTGCCATATAAGCCTTTATAACCCGTGCCTAGATTTTTGCAGCCACTTCAAGGGCTCTGCTGAACTTAATAATGGCACCACTCTTCAAAGTGTTTTTTTTTTTTTTTTTTTTTTTTTTCATTTGTGCTTAGCAGCTTAGATGTGGTTGGAGTTAAAATCAGTTATTTTTGGGCTGGGCACGGTGGCTCAACGTCTGTAATCCCAGTGTTTTGGGAGGCCAAGGTGAGCGGATCACCTGAGATCAGGAGTTTGAGACCAGCCTGACATGGAGAAATCCCGTCTCTACTAAAAATACAAAATTAGCCAGGTGTGGTAGTGGTGGATGCCTGTTTCGGCTACTTGGGAGGCTGAGGCAGGAGACTTGCTTGAACCCAGGAGGTGGGGGGTGTGGTGAGCCAAGATCATGCCATTGCACTCCAACCTGGGCAACAAGAGCGAAACTCCATCTTAAAAAAAAAAAAAAAAAAAAAAGTTATCTTTAGGAATGAGGCATAGCAATTAAGGATATTGGCAAAACAATGATTGCTAAAGTGAATTGTGAAGTAAATTAAGTTAAAAGAGAACCAGGTATGATATGCCTTAGTCCTGGCTACTTGTGAGACTGAGGTGCGAGGATCGCTTGAGCTCAGGAGTTTGGTCCAGCCTGCGCAACATAGGGAGACTCTGTGTCTCCAAAATTAAAAGAAGAGATTGGGCATGGTGGCTCATGCCTGTAGTCCTAGCACTTTGGTATGCCAAGGATGGTGGATCACGAGGTAAGGAGTTTCAGACCAGCCTGGCCAAGATGGAGAAACTCCATCTCTACTAAAAATACAAAAAAATTAACCAGGCATGGTGGCAGGTGCCTATAATCCCAGCTACTTGGGAGGCTGAGGCAGAGAATTACTTGAACCGGGGAGGTGGAGGTTGCCATGAGCCGAGATTACGCCACTGCACTCCAGCCTGGGTGATGGAGCGAGAGTCCGTTTAAAAAAAAAATTGAAAGCTGGTGGTGAAAGTTTGAAGGACCCGGGAAGTACAGATGCTGGTGGTGTCAAAGAACAAGGGTAGGAACATCACCAAATAATAGTGTTGGCAGCACAGGAACTGTGGGTCGAATGTGAGATACCACAGTTTATGATTTCTGATTGGCAGAAAGTTCTAGGGTATGGTTGTGTGAGTGGGTCTCTGAATTGAGTGGAGGAGAAAATTATTAAAAATGAGAAAATCTTGGGACTTAGAGGATAGGTTGTGGGATGGGTGATACACGTATTGTTGCATTTGCCCAGGGTAATGGCAAGAGTTGACAGAGAAAAGAATATTGACCTAGACTTTAATAAAGGATTTGGGAATGACAGAAGCCACGGTAAAAATAAGGGATAGTCAGATGTTTGGGTGTTTCCTCTGGCTGTGTCTATCCTGTGTCTGGACAATTATTACAAGATATTTACATTGTAAATACATGTAATTCATATAATAGTTTTATAAGTAATAATATGTAGTTTAACTAAAAAACCATCTTCGTCTTACAGATTGTTTAGTTACCAAAAAAAAAAAAAAAAATTCTCATTATTTAAAGGTAAATTAATAAGGCAGTCTAAAGGCATGGGCCCCAAAGATGTTTCAATAACGGCCTCATAGTGTGTATTACATGGTATTCTAGAACTTTAGTAATTTAGGTAAGAAATATAAAAAGTATTTCTGTTTTATTCGGAAGCTGATGTTTGTTGATATAACTTATTATAAATGTATTTAAAGGTTAGATTGTTAAAACTGATGAAATAATGTTTTACAGAATGTTTAACAAATTAAAATGGATTTTTTTTTAGGAGACAAGGTACCAGCTTCTTCAGTTACGCCCAACACAGCGTGCTTCCTGGATTGGATATGCTATTGCATACCATTTGCTGAAAGATTATGATATGGCCCTTAAACTGTTGGAAGAATTTAGACAAACTCAGCAAGTAAGAATTTTAACATTTCCTTCTACCTTCACAAATGGAGTAGTTGACTTCTAAATTGTCCCTGCCCTCAAATGTGAATTAAAGTCTTTGAAACCTACCGAAAACTTTTTGACATAATTGGAAACAGTTACAATGTAGGATTTTCTCTCTCTTAGTCTCTCTCTGTCTCTCTCTTTTTTTTTTTAAAAGAGACAGGGTCTTGCTATGTTGCCCAGGCTGGTCTCGAACTCCTGGGCTCAAATGATCATCCTGCCTCAGCCTCCCAAAGTGCTGGAATTACAGGCATGAGCCACCACGCCTGCCTCCATATCTACATGTGGATTCAGCTGCAAGTTGATGGAGATGATGCGATTGAGTCACTTCACTTAGAGTTAATCCCCCAATCTTGAGTCTCTTTTCCACTCCTGTGTTTATCTGTCATTTCATAATCTTGACCCTGTCTGGAGTTTTTCAGGACAGATAGACATTCTCCATAGTAATTTCTTCTCTATATATACTCTAGACTTGGGCTTCCTCCATTCTATTTTACCCACTCCTCCTTTGCATTCTATTTTCCAGAAATTTGTTGAAATCTTATATAGTGTGTTCTGTTTATGGGTTTTTATGTCTTTTAATTGCTATTTTACTTTCCAAAGGGAGGAAATAAACTGTGTAGTAAGGCCTCCATTTTTACTTAGGTTTTTAGCTTTTTACCTCACACCAAATAATTCTTCATTAGACTAGTTCTTTGTCTTTATCCAGTAATCAAGTTCTGACCAAAAGATAGCATTGTATCACATTTGGTAGACGTGATAAAAAAACTTTCCTTTTAAACACAAAATTACTACATTTTTATGGTTAAATTTAGGTTTTTGCAATTTCTGTTTTTTCTTTTCTTTCTTTCTTTTTTTTTTTTTTTGAGACCAGGTCTGAATATGTTGCCCAGGCAGGAGTGCTGTGGCTGTGTGCTACAGTCTGGAACTTGTAGGCTAGAACTAGGACTTGAACTCCTAGCTTGGACTACTCCAGAGACTGAGGCAGGAGGATAGCTAAGACTACAGCTGTACCAGTGTGCCTGACAGTGTTGTTTTTTAGACATAATGCTGTTGCATGCTTAACAGACTATAGTATATTGTTAACACAACTTTTATATGCACTGGGAAACCAAAAAGTTGTGTCACTCACTTTATTGAGGTGGTCTGGAACCAAACCCACAATCTCCAAGGTATACCTGTAATTGATTTTTCTTCACTGATTTTTTATTCTGTGACCTTGCTAAACACTTCTACTAATTCTAGTAGAGTTTTTTTTTTTTTTTTTTTTTTTGTAAATTCCGTAGTATTTCAGCCATTTTTATATATTTTTTTTGTTGGTTTAAAAAAATTTCTTTTTCTTTTAAATAAGAGGCAGGGTCTCACTATGTTGCCCAGGCTGGAGTGCAGTGGCTGTTCACAGGCACAGTCCCACTACTGATTAGCATGGGAGTTTTAACCTGCTCTGTTTCCGACCTGGGCTGGTTCACCCCTCGTTAGGCAACCGGGTGGTCCCCTGCTCCCGGGAGGTCACCATATCGATGCCGAACTTAGTGCGGACACCTGATCGGTATAGCGCACAACAGCCCAGAACTCCTGAACCCAAGGGATTCTCCAGCCTCAGCCTCCTGAGTAGTTGGGACTACAGGCACGTGCTACTGTGCCTGGCCATTTTTATATTTGTTTGTAGGATTTGTTGACCTCTATCACTTGGGGAGAGAAAGAAGTCTCACCCCATTATTTGCTTTAAATAATGCATTCATTATTTGTTTTAGATAATGCATTCATTTTTGGTGCTGTTAATCACTCTTCTGTTTCTGTCTGCTTGTGGGTTGCTTTCTTGTTTGTGTGAATGACTCTCCTGAGAAGGCAGTTTAATATAACTGCTTTGTATAATTATATAAATAAAATTATTTGGTCATTTTTTTCAGGTTCCTCCAAACAAAATGGATTATGAATATAGTGAACTGATATTATACCAGAATCAAGTGATGAGAGAGGCAGATCTGTTTCAGGAATCTTTGGAACATTTAGAAACATATGAGAAACAAATATGTGATAAACTTTTGGTGGAAGAAATTAAAGGTAAGTTGGCTTGCCTTTTTTTAATGGCCTCAAACAGAAAGCAAAAAAAAACTGTATGTTTTATTCTCTCCTAAGTCTTAACATAACACTTGTTATGTATTCAGCAGGGTTCTAAGCACTTTATTATTAAGCCATTATTAACTAATTTAATCCTCATAACTACCCTATGTTGTAGTTATTATATCTATTTTGAAAATGAGGGGAACTGAGGAACTGAGAGATTGACTAACCCCAAATCATACAGTTTAGTAAACTGGAGAGTGCTAGATTTGAATCCAGATTTCATTCCCTTAATCAGTATATTATACTGCCTTCATGTTGACTGTGTATCTCTGTATGTCCGTATGTAGTTAAATACAGTGAGAACCATAATTGATGGTACTGGGTTCATCATGAACACTAGGGTCATTTATTTTCATTATGGACTAATTATGAAGACAGGATCCCTATATTTTTAACAGCATTCATCAACAAGGGGTCAGACAAAAATTTTCACAAACCTTTGCTCATAAGTTTCCTTTCCCTGAACAATATTATTAAATTGAATGTCCAGCCAAAATAATAGTTGAGAACTAACAGTTATATGATCTCTGAAGTCTGACGCTTAATAAAAGTAATAGCTAATATGTATTTTTAAACTCTTCTGTTTGAGTATGGTAATTGCTTAAACTGCTTTATTTCATTTAATTTTTTAGGACTTTTAAGATGGGTACTATTTGTTAACCCCATTTTATAATCGAAGAGACTGAGGCTTTGAGAGGTTAAGGACTTGCCCAAAGTCATCCCGCTTTTTAAGTGGTGAAGTTAAGTTTCCAAGCACATCAACACATCCTTTTGACTTCAGAGTCCTTACTTTTTTCTAAAAAATAGACGTTTTCAGGACAGTTTTAGGTTCACAGTAAAATCTAGAAAAAGGTACAGAGCCCCTCCCTCCTGCAAACCCCTGGCAACCACTGATCTTTTTACTCTCTACATAGTTTTGCCATTTCCAAAATGTCATGTAGTTGGAATCATATAGTATGTAGCCTTTTCAGCTTGGCTTTATTTTTGCCAAATCATTTCTTGCCTGAGAAAGATTAGCTTCTTTCACTTAGTGATATATGTTCTTTTTCCCATGTCTTTTCATGAGCTTTTTACTTTTAACTACTGTACGCGTTCTGGTTAATGTATATGTGAGTGACTTAGTTTTTATTGTAATTAATATCAATACCAGTATTAATGACAACACTTTTAAAAGTTATTGATACAATATGGGTAAATAATTAAATATTCTGGTCTCTATCTTGTTTCACTACTTATTGACGGGAGCAAAGAAAAAAAAGGCGATTATGTTTCCTTCCTGAAATATTATTGCTGTTTCTTGATTAAATCTTAACTCCCTCAGGTTGCTGTTTCTCTTTCTTGATATTTCTCCTGTAGCATCAATAGGGAATACGTTCAATGTAATCCATAGATTAGATTATTTAATCTTAAAAAAAAATAGGGAATGCAATTTTGAAAAGTAAATATGATACAGTGAAATTAATTCAAGTTAAAAAATTCTAGGCCATGCATGGTGGTTCACATCTGCAATCCCAACACTGGGAGCGTGAGACAGGAGGATTGCTTGAGCATAGGAGTTCAAGACCAGCCTGGGCAACATAGTGAGACTCCATCTCTACAAAAAAGTTAAAAAATTATCTGGGTGTGGTGGTGCATGCCTTTGGTCCCAGCTACTTGGGAGGCTGAGGAGGGAGGATTGCTTAAGCCTGGGAGGTTGAGGCTACAGTGAGCTGTGATTATACCACTTGCATTTCAGCTGGATAACAGAGCAAGACCCTGTCTCAAAAAACAAAAAAAGTCCTGCAGATTGCCTCATAGTCACATTTATCCTTATAGTGCTAGTGAGGTAATTTGGGACCATTAATTTGAATATGCAACCCATGCTCTGTATTATCTACAGAGACAGATATGGTATTATTTTTAGTTTTTCACGGAACTTTGCAGGTCCAGAGAGACCTTTGTTATTCACACAGTTTTTTTTTTTTTTTTTTTTTTTGGTGTGGTCATTAATTTATTATAATCCTTTAAAAAGCCTTAAAAGTTAGAGATTTTCACTTACTTATGAATATGTAGGTATATATTTATTTGTCCTATACATTCCTCTAGTAATAACCTTCGCTTCATGGTAGTAGCAGATAACAGATGTTTTTGAAAATGAAAAATGCTAATGTCTATTGTATCTGGGATAAGCAGGGTAAAAATTGGCCAGAAGTTAATTGTGGAGGAGTGGGCATGCTTAAAGTTTTAAGTAGCACGGTTTTATGTGTATTTGTTTTGTGACAAGCAGTGGTAGATTTGGTAATTATTCCTAGTTCAGTCTTATTCTAGAGTTTGAGTGATATATAATATAAAAATAGTAAAATAATGGTACATAAAATCTGCTAGAATATACTGCCTCCTCCAACATGATGAAGGGAGAAATAGTATGACTTGAAGACATTTTAAAGGGTATTTATTTGAAATAGATTGGGGAATGGGAAATCTTGGGGGCAGAAAGTTGAGGTATGTCCTTTTTTGAGAATCTCCCTTTTATCTTGGACTGGGTGCGTTTTCCATCATTTCTGAGAGGTCTGGGTCCTCATTCTCCACACCTGCTCTTGATTTATGTGGCTTAGTAAAAGGATTTGACCTTTTACTGACCCACTGAACGGACCTGCACATGAACATGGCTTGTGTGGTTTCCTGTTATAAAGCGGTTTTGGTGTTAACAATTTCACAGTTAAACTTCTCCAATTTTAGTGCTTTTGAAAGGAAACAATAAGAATTGAGTGGAGAATTACATATGAACTGATTAGTAAAGTTGTATTTAAATCTTGAGGTAGGAAGATAGGAATGTTTCAGTAGAATTATTTGTCAGCCTAATTTTGATGTGTTTGTGTATATCTTTAGTTATTTCAAAGGGATAAGATATATGTAATGCAAAAGTTTTTTACTAACAAATTAATGTCCTACGTATGTATTTGGAGTGTTAGAGGAAGCCAAAAATGAAGGTACAAATGAAGGTTCATTTCTGAAGGCAAGCTATGCTTAGTCACATAAACGGCAACATGCCTCAAGGGGAAGCATGCAGAATTCTGTCTTTTTAGCCATCTATTCACTGGTAATGCTTAGTGAAGTCTCTGGGATCAGATAGATATTTAATGTTTAAAATGAATATGTCTTTAAACTTAATTTTAGGGGAAATACTGTTGAAATTGGGAAGATTAAAAGAAGCCAGTGAAGTGTTCAAAAACTTGATTGATCGGAATGCAGAAAATTGGTGTTATTACGAAGGCTTGGAAAAAGCTCTACAAATTAGTATGTAATGATTTTTCTCCCTTTTCTTGTAACTACTGGTTTGAAGTATGACAAAATGTAAAGTTGTAATAATACTTGAGAACAAATAATTTTGGCATTAGTACTCATTTTTCCATTGAGTAAAATTATAGGTTAAACATGGGAGTAAAAATGAATTCAAGTAGCTACGCTTTAAGTGTAAATGCTTGCAGATATTTAAAGTTCCTTGACCCTTACCTGTGATGGTATTGAAAGGTGAGGCAAAAACAAAACAAAGCCAAACCAAAACAAAACAAACCATACCGTAAATTTAGACTAGAGACGTGGGAAAGAAGACAAGCATTCCCTTTCTGGGAGGTGTCATAACTTTAATATTTAAAAATCGTTAGAGGTTCATTACCCTCAACTTCTACATGTAAGAATTGGTCCAGAGAATTATTGTTGAGGGTATTCTCTGATTTCAAATTAGAGCAAAATGTTACATGTCTTCTTTTGAAATTAGGTAGCCCCAACCCTTTTCAGAAATCTAGTGTTAGTCTAAGATTTTTATAATATTTTCATAATTAAGTGTTGATAGGAACAGTTAATATTTCTACAATCATATTTAGTCATGAATAAATGTATTTCTGAAATAATTATGGGACTGGCTCAAAGATGTTGAAACAGCAGGATTTTTTTTTTTTTTTTTTAGAATTTTTAAATTTAAGAAGTATGGTAAATAGGTAGCTACCCACATTGATTTATAGTAGTATAAACCACAAGAAAAGTTTAACTCTTGTATCCTCACTGATATTAATTAATTCTGCTGTTCTTTTTGTGTTTAAAATTCAATACTACAAATTGTTAAAAATTTATTTTGTTATTTTTAAGAAAATGATTAAAATCACAATATTGATTAAAGCAGTATTTTGAAAAAAACAGCAAAACTTATATGTGCGAAGGTTGAACACATGGGGTAACTATGATTTTTCTTTTAACTGCCAGTAACTGACATTACAATTAATAAAAATATTTTAATGTTTTAGTAAAATGAATAATATGTTCCATATTTCGGGATTCTTGGTTACTATAAAATGTATTGATTACAAAACTAATTACACTACTTTATTGTTTTAGGTTCCTTATGACCTTTCCTTCCCCTTGGTAAGTTCTGGAGCTCCAACTTGTGACTTTAATTAGAATATTGAAATTGTTTAGTTTTGTCTTAATTACATTTATACGGCTTGTTATATCTGGGATAGTGGAGAAATTTTTTTATATTTGACGCTTGTTATTCTCTAAGATTAGGTGTGAATATGATAATATTTTAAAAATACATGCAGTTGCATTTATGTGTTAATATAAGGGTCTTTAATATTTTGTTAAGTCTCCAAATCAGTAACAGAAAGCAGGATTTTCTTTATTTTTTTCACATATCCCTGGTCTTAAAATCCAACCACATTGGAGCTCCAAAACATATTATTGGGGTAAGGAATGAGTCTAAACAAGATCACACCTCTTGAAGTGTAGTGTTTACAGTCTTGATACTTGATATTAATCTTGAGTATCAATACTTGATACTAAACACTACATTTACTACAGAGATACCTTGTCTGCTAACACCCAGGTTATTTTTAGGATAATTATTGTTTTGTGGCCTAAATTAAAATCTACTTAAAACCTTCTAGTTCAAAAACAGGTTTGTTTGCTTTTTCTTAAAATTCCACTATAAATTATCTTATTGCTTATAAATCTCTTTGTGAATTATGCAGGATATTATTTTAGAAAAATGAACAACACCTAGATCCTGTTTGCTTGCATACTGTTGTTTCAGAGTAACATGTAGTTTATAGATAGATAGATCCTTCATGTGGTACTATAAAATTAGGTGGTTCTTGGAAGGGAAGATAGAACTTTCTGTTAGAAGTATATTTTATTTCTTCGGAAGGATAATGGAGTTTTATTGAAGATTTTAAGTGTTAAAGTTAACATGGAAGTTTAGTTTATCTTTTTATATTTTAAACATTTGCATCATAATCCTAAAACTGTTGCTTCTTTGAGCCTAATCAACAGACATTATAGGCTTTTATGGGGATTTATGTAGGTTTTTTTGGCTCAGAGTGTTTACATAAGATATGTTACTAGAGATACGTTATAAAAAGATTTTCTTTTCCATGAGTTGTATGCTAAAGGAATATAAGAGAAGTGCAGCATATCTTGAGTCTGCGATGGCTTATATATGTGATTTGGGCTCTACTTAGAATCTTGGGATGAAAGAAGTTTTGGATTTCTCTGGAGATGAGTTTAAAATGGTGACTTAACTGATTATAGAATTTCACCATCACAGTGTTTTAAATGTCATTTTTACCAAAATTGAAAGCAGCTTTAATATTGTTAATGCAGTTTTATTTATAACATAATTTTAAAAGTTTGTTAGTGTTTTACCATAAATGAAAATTGTGATGCTATGAATCTCACCCATATTTACTGATAATAGGCACTTTAGAAGAGAGGCTTCAAATTTATGAAGAAATTAGTACGCAGCACCCCAGAGCAATTACACCCAGAAGATTACCTTTGACTCTTGTCCCAGGTAATATTAAGATGTCTTTTATAATACCAATTATTTGTCAAAATTACTCAGTGCTATTTATATTTTAGAAACATGTTTCTGGTGTAGAGTTTATGTCTGCAGCAATCTTGGCGTTAGGACTGAACAGTTATGAATTTATTATTTATATATTAATAAGAGTGTTATACTTCAATGTGTAGCTAAATGTTGATTTTAAAATTTGAAGTTATCTATATAAATATAAAACTGCTTTTCTTAAGTTGATCTCATAGAGGTAGAAAGTAAAATGATAGATACCAGAACTGGCAAGGGGGCATTGGGGAAAGATGAAGAGTGGCTGGTTAATGGGTACAAACATACATTTAGACAGAAGGAATAAGTTTCAATGTTTGCCTAATAGGGGGACTGTAGTTAACAGCAATATATTGTATATTTCAGGATAGCAAAAAAAAGGACTTGAAATGTTCCCAACACATAGAAATGATAAGTAATCGAGGTGATAGATACCCTAAATACCCTGACTTGATCATTACATACATCTCTGTATGTAACAAAATATCATGTACTGCATAAATATGTACAAATATTATGTATCAGTAGAAAAACTGCTTTTCGTATGTGACTTTAAAAAAGCACTATATTTAGAAGGTAAATTCCCTATAATTAATGACAAATTATATGTGGTATCATGATTTAAATAGTAAAAGTTTTGATTTTTTTTTTTTTTTTGAGACAATATCTTGTTCTGTTACCCAGGTTGGAGCTGGAGTGCAGTGGCACAGTCTCTGCAGCCTCAAACTCCTGGGCTCAAGCTATAGTTTTGAAGTTTTATATCTTCTTTTCGAACATAAATTGAAAGAAAAAGTTGTGAGCTGTTTGCACCCACCACAGTGTTTAAGAACAGAAGTCATCATTTATTCAAGAGTTAACCACTTTACTGAGTTTTGCTTTTTATCATGTCATTACTTTTATTATTAGAGCTCCATGTATTTTGTGTCCCTGCAAACAAAAACAGCTTTTGTACTTTATATAAATTGGAGTACTGTGATATATGTTATGTGATTTGCTTTTATTGTACAATAGTGTATTCATGACCTTGAGCTGAGTTATTGCATATAGCTGAACTCATTTTTTGGGCTACATAGGAGGTAGACAGTATATTAGCTCTTCAGGTAGTTAATGTCTTTGTTCAGTTTTTTAAAAATTACATGTTTTTTTTGAAGTCTATTTTTGTAAGTACCCTTGATTATGAATTATATATTAGAACTTCTGGTATTTCTTTTGATACAAGTCAGACTCTGGACAGCTAATATAACTTAAGTTTCTGGGGAGCTGAGGAGTCTATTTTCTGTTCACATTTATAGTGGCAAATATTTGTTTAAATAATTTGGTTATAATTTTATTTTTACCAAAAGATTCATGAAAATTAAAAATTTTTAGTTGACTCACTTGTGAAATATGTGAAATACCTTTTAGAAATGTATTGGATTAGACAGTGGACAGAAATTCATTTTAAAGATTCATTTTATACTATTGCATTTCAATTCCAAAGATGAAGAGTAGTATTTTTCTGATCCTCCATTTTTTTGTTTTGTTTTTGTAGAATACAGAGAGCAGATTCTCTGATGTTTTCCAGGGAATATTAAGTCCAAGTAGATATTAATAGGCTTGGTTGGGAGGGTGTTGGTGTGCTTGAGCTGTTCTTCAGCCAAGTAAGTTTGGGAAACTGGATTAAACACAGCTATCAGGTTTCTACAGGACTTCTTAGAGCTTTTAATATACACTTTGTGAATTTCAAAGATGGTAGTATATGCGTATTGAGGAGTATTTTCCCTAATAAAAGTGTTTTGTAGAAGATGCATATACTTACATTTCTGTATTTCTTCCTCCTCTTTGTTTTAAAAAATAATAGCTTTTTGAAATATAATTTATATACCATAAACTTCACTTTTTTAAAGTGTGCAATTCAATGTTTTAGTATATTAATCATGTACAACCATCATCTCTGTCTGCTTTCAGAAATTTTTTATGACCCCAAAAAGAAACCCCATACCTATTTCACTCCCCATTACCCCTCAGCCACAGTACCTGGCAACTACCAATCTGCTTTCCGTACCTATGGATTTGCCTGTTTTTGGACATTTCAAATAAATGGAATCATACCTTCTGTGGCCGTTAGTGTCTAGCTTCTCTTCCTTTTATTGGTCTCGGTATATTTTGTGTTTCACAATATGTTGTGGGTGGGAATATTTCCTTAGGAGCTTTAAAATGCATTCATATGCTATTTAGGAAAGAAAAAAAACCTCACTTAGCTTTAAGATTATGAACAAGACCTCTTTGTTCTCTTTTTCTCATTTGGAACATGGGGCTTCAGATTTATACTGCCTACATTTATTTCCATAGACAATATAAGTTTGCTAAAAGCCCTCAATACGTGGCAGTGTATGGAAGGAAATATATTTTTACTGAAAAAGCCTAGAATTTTTTTATTGTAAAGTGTGATTTAGGTTAAAGTGAAACCATCCTAGAGCCTCTGGGACATGCTGTCTTTGAAATGTCATAAAAATCTTTTTACAAATCAGGTCTCAGTGGAGCGTTCTGATGGCATAGGCTTTCAAGGTCATCATCGCTGTGAGGTTCTGACATACGGGTATTTACAAAGCTCCAGTGAATATATATAAAATTATGCAAATACTTAATTTTCTCTGTGCAGAGCTGGATATTTCATGATTTTTTTGCCTGTCTAGAAATACTTTTATGTATAATAAGAAGGCCATCTTGGCATTATCAAAAGCAGTAAGATCTTTCTCAAGAAACATGATGCATCTTGAGAATGCATGGTGAAAGTTTTGAAAAAGGCTTTCAATATTTTAGATAAGAGGGCTTCATACCTATAGAGCATAATAAATATAAAATAATACATAAAAAATCACACCCAAAATATTAAGTGCTTTAAAAATAATGAAGGGATAAAGCTACTTTTCATCATGTCTTATTATGCACTGGCTGACGGGTAGAGAGAGGGAAGGAAATAATCGAGAGTGTTAAACATAGAATACTAATTAAATTTTGCTCCATTATTTAGAATGGATTTTCAGTGAATCAGAAACAGTCTAGTCTTGAATTAGGTGTGAACAGGGCCATCATGTTTTGGGAACATCATGCTACATAGCTAGATAAGAATTACTCAGGTAATCTGTTTTGTGAGCAGTAATGCTAAACAGGCACATAATAATTGATGGAAAAAATAAGATGGATAACTCGTAAGTAATTTGGGGATATGGTGTGTGACTGAGCAGTTGGGTAAGTTGTGTATAGGCTTCTTGTTTAGGTGATACATTCACAGCTGCAAATTAGGTAAAAAGGGTTTATAAGTTTATAAGTGAAGTCTTTTTCTTATCTGTCCCCTGGCAACTAAGTTTACTTCCCTGAAGACATCGCTTGTCATCAGCTGATGTTGTATTCTTCTACAAATACATTGTGCATGTGTAAGCAAAAATGTGTGTGGGAGATTTGCATAAGGTGTACCTCCTGTTTTTTGCAAAAGTGCCATAGCATGGATTGCTGTGCACCTGGGTTTTCTTTTCACTTATCTGTATTTGGAGATTAGTCCTGGATCAGCACTTAAAGAGCTTCCTCATTCATTTTCATACCTGCACAGTCTAATAAATCAAATTTGCCAGTATGATCTGAATAGACTGAGAAAGTTAATCAAGGAGGAGTTCAGAGTAGCTTCTGCCATGAAGATAAAATGCTTGTTTTCTCAGTGGGTGATATTCCAAGTATAGAAAACAAAACATTAATTCTAAAATATAAAAATTGTCAGATATCAGAGAAGATAAGGAGACATATATCGAGTGATTACTCTGTGCCAAGACATTGTTTACTGCTATATACATATCGTGTTTGAGCCATGAAGAGTACTGTTGAGGCCGGTAATAGTATTGTCTTCATTTTACAGTGGTGAAACTGGGGTTTTTAATGGACAAGTTATTTGCCCAAGTTTGCACACAAATAAGTGGAGAAATCTGCATTTCTCTCAGAAACAGCATCTCTTATTGTCTACCACAATATTGTTAACTTTGTTGTACACCAGAGGGATTACTGGAAAGATTTGGTCTCTGAAACTATTTTTGATTTTTAAGGAAGCAGTGGTGTATAATTTAACCCAGGATGGATGTTTTCTCCATAATCTGTGATTTTTCAAGACCAGTACTTTGTGTATGATTGAATAAGAAATTAGAGATTATCTGAATACGATCTTCATAGTTACTGGCGTTAAATTTTTATGACATCTAATTGAGTATGCATGTATGTTTTGTTCAACATGGTCAGTCATAACAAATAAAAACCATTTTGGGTTGTTAGAGTTTGTTGTGCAGTGTTGTGAATCATTAAGAAACTTTGGGAGGTCATTTCAATCGTCTTACTTGAGGCTAAGTCATTCATGATGCGTGTGTGTGTGTGTGTGTGTGTGTGTGTGTGTGTGTGTGTTTGTTTGTTTCCCCAAATGATTAGGTAAATCCATGTCCTTAACTATTAGCCTGTACTCTCAAAAAGTTCTTATACCTTTGTATTATAAAATTAAAATTCTTTGAATAGTCTCTGCTTTCAAAAAGTGATGACAAAAATCATTTGTAGGGGTTTAGCAATGATAGAATTATTTACTTGATCTTGCAGAGTATTTATTTTAGTTCTAATGTTAGAATGCCCAGGGCTCAGTCTAATGTGTAGCATAAACTTACTTTACTTTTATTGTTGATCTCCCTCACTGAGATGTTAAGTTCTATAGGGTAGAATTTAAAAAAATTTTTGTTTTAATCACTGTTATATCCCCAATACCTAGAACAGTGCCTGGCATGCAGTAAGTGCTTGACATATGATTATGAAATAAATGAGTGAATGAATGAATGTTGAAGTAAATGACAAGTACAAATTGATTTGGGATAATTGTAAATACCAGCTTAGTGTTTAAAAAGATCTTTTGACTATCCCTTGAATATGGTACTGGTTACAGTAGTCTGCTACAGAGTGCTTCATGTGTATCTGCAAGGTTTTGAGGTGTAGACTGAGTATGCTAGTCAGTGAGATATTAAGAAAGATATTTGATATTGTGCTATATTCAGGATAGTTGATAACTTTTACTCTACTTAAAACTATATGACTTTGGGGGTTTATAAATTGGATAGAAGCATAATTGTTTCTGAGGGAGCTTCATTTTTATTTAGAAAATCAATTTAAGAATTGTTTGCATGAACCAAAGAATTAACAAAGTATGCTTTTGTTTCTAGGTGAAAGATTTAGAGAACTAATGGATAAGTTCCTGAGGGTTAACTTCAGTAAAGGCTGCCCACCCTTGTTTACTACTTTGAAATCTTTGTATTACAATACAGAAAAGGTAAAATTTGGTATTTATTAAGATTTGCTATAGTCTTTTTTAGTAAATTGTGGAAAGATGTCCATGTAAATGTGCTATTAATCATTTTTTCTATTTTAGTAATGTTACTCACTTTCAGTCTAATAATGTACTGAAATCATACGCCTGTAGTGTAAGTAATATCAAAAGAAACGTCGGTCTGAAATTTACTGAGTAAAGAGTTTATGAAAACACTAAGATTATAAAGCTTGTTTATTTTTAATGGACATACTTTTTTTTAAGTGGGATTTTAAATTTGACATTGTTACCAGAGGTATATATTTAACTATTCTGTGATGATTATTTTATGGTACAATTGTGGATTTTTAAATTAGTTTTGCATGCTTTTTAAGTTAGAGCTTGGATAATTGACAGTGCAACAGTAAAATGCTATTTGGTCAACAGTACAAATTATTAGTTTTAATCAGTAAGGTTACATTTTAATAAACACAGTTTTAGCTAGTTCTTGAATAAAGAATTGAATATCTTTCTGCTTTTTAAAATTAGAAATAGGCACTTAAATCTTGGTCTTAAATTAGAAAGATAATTAAAGTTAATAGAAAGTAAGTTATACTTTTATTTCCAAGTGTTGCTTCTTGTTTATTAAAGTCTAAAATCTTGTTGTCTTTTCTGTAGTCAGTTTTTAAAAGTTACTAGTAGATAAGGAAAAGATTTTGTTAGAAATGCTGAAAGGGCCGGGTGCGGTGGCTCAAGCCTGTAATCCCAGCACTTTGGGAGGCCGAGGCGGGTGGATCACAAGGTCAAGAGATCGAGACCATCCTGGTCAACATGGTGAAACCCCGTCTCTACTAAAACTACAAAAAATTAGCTGGGCATGGTGGCGTGTGTCTGTAGTCCCAGCTACTCAGGAGGCTGAGGCAGGAGAATTGCCTGAACCCAGGAGGCGGAGGTTGCGGTGAGCCGAGATCGCGCCATTGCACTCCAGGCTGG